TTTAGTTAAATTTTTTTTCATGTTTAGCCACACTAATATATAATGTATGGATCCGTCCCTGGTTACATGTTCAACAATATCGACTACTCATAGTACTAGTTACCATTGTCATTTACCATTACCATATAGAGAATATCTTTGTTCATCCTTACACCTTCTTAGGGACCCCTGGAGAAATTCCCTAAATGCCTCCATGTTTCAGATATGTATATCCGAACGAACCAACATTCAATTTTTTAACAGGTTAATTCAGATATACATATCCAAAGCCACTAGGGATCTATTTCGGATGTGCATATCAGAATTATTCAGAATCAGTAGCAAAATCAAATCCATCAAAACCACATACATAAATAGTCGAAAAATACATAGATTGTTGAACATAAATTTAATATTACATATTGTTATAGACGGGTAACTGAGGACGTTGCAACATTTTGATCATATCTTCTCCCGATCTTCGAAGTTGCGCATCCACTTCAATCGGACCTTTATTCAAATATTGTTGAAAAGTACTCCACGTGACCTTCAAATCGTCATCCGTCTTCATCTCAAATTTGGTGAACTTGATCTTTCCTTCAGGGTCCAACGAGGGCGAACAATATTCGACCTTGACCACCCTTCAATTTTATGGATATTGCAAGAGAGAGTTGAGTGTCGTAATCAGGCTGATGAGAGGCGTATCCTTGGAGATCTGAAACTGAAATGGAGGCATGTTACCATTTAAGTAGACAAAAGTAAGGTGGGGATATGTTTGAGCCATCTCTATTTGTGGTGTGTGATATTGAAGAAATAGTTTGAACCACCTATTTATAGAAAATTTGGAACATTTTGGACCCAACATTTCTTATCATGCGAACAGTGAAAGTTTCAGATATACACATCCAAAACATCCCTTGTGTTATTTTATTTTTAAAAATATGAAGGCTATTTCGAACATGTATATCTGAAACATCCCCTGTGTTATTTTTTTAAAATAGATGAAGGTGGTTTCAGATATGTATTTCCGAAACATGCATAAACAAAATGAAAATCTGATTTTTATATAATCATTACTGCACACAATTGGAAAAACTTAAAATTGTAAACGTAAACATAGATAAAATGTTGAGTAGATATGTTATATATGTAATGAATCATCCATAATATACATTTTGCACAATAATACATTCAAAAGATGGTTCGGTTTGATCACATATTAAAATACATCGAACTTATTCTCATAGCTTAAATCTAAAACCAGAACTTTCTTCGACTTCTCCCTATTTGGTTCTCTCTTATGCTCTGTCACTTTGATTAACTCTACCATCCGTTCCAAAAAGTGATCTGACCAAGATTCCGCCTCTGGTAAGGAATGTTTCATCCAATAAACTGATGTAGTTGGAATAGGACACCATGGTTTCAAATAAACCTGGAAAAAATGGCACAATCTAAGGAACCCAACACAAATGATGCGCCTGGATGGGTCTTGAGACAGGCGACTCTGAAGTGGGAAAAATGTATCCAAAAAAACATATATTGTCAGGTCGATTACCACCCTGTCATATGCATCAGCTATGAGATGTCCCATTTCATGGAAGCTCATCCACTTTTCAATTGGAGCGGTTCAGGAAAGACTTGGAACAAGAGCGTTATAAACTTTTTCAAACTCATTTATTTTCGTATAAATTTGTCTGTAAAGTTCCATGTACATGGTCAACTTAGAAACAAGTGCATAACACACAAGAGTATGATTCTCCTCGCCTTTTCCAATTAAACCAGCCACAGGCCGATACCCATAGTTACCATCTATACCCACATCAATGATCTTTTCAATATGCTCATGCATAAAAAGTGACATCTCATCAATGTATATAATCGATGGTGGAATTGGTTTTTGAAATAGAGGTATTATCAGGATTTTCTAATAGACGGTGTGCGTGGTGGTTTCGAAGTGCGGGCTCTCTTGAAGACACTTGTTTGCTATTTTTGTGTTGGAGAATCCGGGAATAGTGAATCAACAACTTCATTATAAGACAGAGTCCACTTTGTTAAACTGTCTTCTTGGGTATTTTTCACCTTTTTAGGGGCACCTTTGGTTTTTTACCAGTTGCGATGAAGGCTTTAAATAAGTGGTTTCAGGATATGCGGTTTTCCGTAGCTATTCTTTGATGTGTAATTTCATAGTGCCACCCACTTTAGAAAATCTCTCCATGATCACTTCCAACTCAGTTGTGATGTTTATATCCGATGAATTTTCTTTCGAAGCCTCGTAGTCATCAAATCTGAGTTTTTTCCAATGAATGTAGACCTCGTCCATACGTATGAGGGAATTTAGCTTCATCTTCTTTTAAATAAGACAGGCACATGGAAGCTCGTATGTTTTCCTAATTTTACATCCACACTTTGTACTATCCGGCCCGGTTGTCCTCATTCGATTGGCTTCATGAAAAATGAAATTCAATCCCGCCTGGGATATGCTAAGAACCAATTGCGAGTAGAGAATGTTTTCTTTGAACGAGTGTTCTAAAATGATTGTGCTCTGACCAAAAGTACTTTGAATTTCATTATGTTGGTTTCAGAGCATTTGGTTCACAATGTCCCATTTTCTACAAAGATCTCTCTTGCTATCACCCAACCATTTTTTCAATGTCGCATGTGCAGACTCGACTCTATTAGTCGTTGTGCATCCCAAATGTCTAACCCTCTTCGTCCAAGCACATACAACTTTCTCTTTCACCTGATCAAGAATACTATATTCCACATATTTTAAGAAATTGGGATAATTGATACACGAGTTCCTGAAATATATCACATTCTCCGCATACAAGTCTTCTGTTGAAGAATTTAAAATATTCATCCATGCATCCATTATCTTCTCCAACACAACACTGGGCTTGACCATATTTTCGTCTTCAGTCTTTATCTTTTTGGTGCTAACCGCCGGTTTGAGTCGAGATCTCACATTTTTTGTTATGCAGTACCGACATAGTAACACGTATTATGTAGGAAACACACTTCCTATCGTATTCATAAGGGTGTTATCTCGGTCGGTTACAATGACATTAGGCTTATTTTGAGGATCCTTCAACAAACTCTTGCACATACCCAACACCCATGTAACGTTGTCTTCTTTCTCCGACTCAAGAAATGTAAATCTGACCGAATATATCTTATCCATAGAAGTGACACCAATAATTTCTAGAAGTGGAAGCCTATATTTGTTGGTCTTATACGTTGAATCAATTATAAGAACGGTTGGAAATATGTTGAATAACTTGATACTCTCTGGATGAGTCCAAAAAATGTCACGAACACTGACGTTGTCCTCACAAACTCTGTACCTTAAATTGTAGTGGTTATCATCCAAAAGTTTCAAAAGTTGTTACATCTCATTTCTCGGACCTCTAATCTCCATATTCTATTTATGATGTTCATTGTATACCTTCCTGATATTTGAAACACTATCCGGTCTTTTACATTTCAAATCGGCAAGTATGTTTCTCGGTGCAACTTTGATTATCGACATCTCTGAAATAATTACCTTCTCCTACGGCTTAAGCAGACACACAATTGGATGGCCCTGCTGTTTGATGTCCAACTCATGATTATGTATACCATAAATGACATTGAATCGCCACTTGTCATCCACCCTACAATATCCGCTCAATTTAAACGGACACTCATATTTCCTCGTGTCGGTGTCTTCATGTATCAACTTCTGAATTTTGGAAACATACTTTCCACTTCTCTCGCATATCATCATAACAAATGCTTGCCTTCTACTAGTCTCGTTGTTGGAGCTTCCAATGACAACACCAAACTCAATTTTGCTAGCTTTCATTCGGACCCATTCAAGCATATGTTGACGCGCGTTGAAAACTTGTTCATTTGTAAATTGTTGCCTACAATCTATCGCCACAATAATCGATTTATTATCGTCCTTCACCTCTTCCAGTTTTCTACCTCATTCACAATGTCTGGAACCTTTGCCAAAGCTTTCGGACAGTTGTCGGGGTGCACCATATCTATAATAAAAAAACATAAATCTGTCAAAACAGAATTTTGTTTCTGCAATAAGTAATGTTTCGGATATGCACATCCAAAATAAGTTAGGTGAGTTTCGGATATGCATCTCCAAAATGATGTTGTCTTTTCTTTCAAAAAATCAGAATCAATATTATGGAATGAGGAGGGAAATGATGGATTTTTACCTGAAATTGAAGCTTTATATGCTCCATTTGACATGATAAACCACTTGGAATTTGGTTTGGAGTAGAAAAAAATGATTGAAAATGGTTGAGGTTTGAAGAGGGTTTTGGTTATGGAGGGAAGAAATGGATGAAATAGTTGTAGGGGTGATCAAAAAGGATGTTTTTACAACTAAGTTATTTTCGGAAATGCATTTCCAAAAATATCTCTGATTGTTATATTTCAACGTTTAAATTATAATTACGCGCAAAAAAGAGTTCGTTCGGATATGGATATCTGAAACACCCTTTAAAGATTCATTCGGATATACATATTTAAATGGTATTTTGGGATTTTCGGAGGTATTTTTCTCCCTATAAGGATGTACAAAGAAATTCCCTTAATATATGTGTATACGAAAGATAATAATAATAGAAAATTTCTCTTTACACCTATTAGTAGTGAAAATCACCTCTGAAAAATCAAAAATACCTTTCAAAAATTCTCTTCCATACACACCTATCAACATATTTCGGATGTGAGATATCATTTACATTACCATTGATATTTTAGATTTAAATTGAATTGACTAAACAATTCTTGATTACTAGTAGAGCAAAGTGAGCCAATAAAATTACAATGTTTGAGGATAGAGTAGTCGTAGCGGTTCATTGAGCTATGGGTTAATCGCATCACATGCAAATGCAAACAACACACTTTAAAAACTACCATTACACTCCCAGAAGTTGATTCTCACACTCCATTTTTAACTTGGATTTTCATCCACACAATAAAGACTTATTCTCTCTTACTAATTTCATCATCTTAAAATGGCTTCACCTAATAGAGGAAGAGGTAGAATGGTTTCAAGTAGTAGAGGAAGAGGTGAAGCCAATGCATCATCAATATCACACCAGCATCATCAACTTCATCAAGATAACAACATTAACAACCTGAACGACAGAAATAATAAAAGAGAATCATTATCAATGAGAAAAGCCATAGCTCAGTACACAGAAGACGCAAGACTCCATGCCGTTTTCGAACAATCCGGCGACTCTTTCGATTACGCACAATCCATTCGTGCCACAGCAGCTACTGAATCAGTTCCCGAACAACAAATCACTGCTTACTTAGCCAAAATCCAACGCGGTGGTTTCATTCAACCTTTCGGTTCAATGATCGCCGTCGACGAAGATTCTTTTCGAGTTCTTGCTTACTCTGAAAACGCACGTGACATGCTTGGTATCGCTCCTCAATCGGTTCCTTCCATGGAAGATGATTCGTCGTCTTCTTCGTTTTTCGCTTTAGGTGTTGATGTTCGGTCTCTTTTTACTAATTCAAGTTCTGTTCTTCTTGAGAAAGCTTTTTCAGCTCGGGAGATTAGTTTAATGAATCCTATTTGGATCCACTCTAGAGCTACTGGTAAGCCTTTTTATGGAATTCTTCATAGGATTGATGTTGGTGTTGTTATTGATTTGGAGCCTGCAAGATCTGAGGATCCGGCGCTTTCCATTGCTGGTGCTGTTCAGTCTCAGAAGCTTGCGGTTCGGGCGATTTCGCAGCTTCAGGCGCTTCCTGGTGGTGATGTTAAGCTTCTTTGTGATGCTGTTGTGGAGAGTGTTAGGGAATTGACTGGTTATGACAGGGTTATGGTTTATAAGTTTCATGAGGATGAGCATGGTGAGGTTGTTGCTGAGAGTAAGAGGGTTGATTTAGAGCCTTATATTGGTTTGCATTATCCTGCTACTGATATTCCTCAGGCTTCTAGGTTTTTGTTTAAGCAGAATAGGGTTAGGATGATTGTGGATTGTAATGCTTCTCCTGTTAGGGTTTTTCAGGATGAGGCGCTTGTTCAGCCTGTTTGTTTGGTTGGGAGTACGCTTCGTGCTCCTCATGGTTGTCATGCTCAGTACATGGCAAATATGGGTTCTATTGCTTCTTTGGCTATGGCTGTTATTATTAATGGGAATGATGAACACGCCGGTGGGATTGCTGGTACTGGATGTAGCTCCATGAGGCTTTGGGGTCTTGTTGTTTGTCATCATACTTCTGCTAGGTGTATTCCTTTTCCTCTTAGGTATGCTTGTGAGTTTCTAATGCAGGCTTTTGGGCTTCAGTTGAATATGGAGCTTCAGTTGGCTGTGCAGTCGTTGGAGAAGCGGGTTTTGAAGACGCAGACTCTGTTGTGTGATATGTTACTTAGGGATTCTCCTACAGGGATTGTTACTCAGAGTCCTAGTATTATGGACTTGGTTAAGTGTGATGGGGCTGCTTTGTATTATCAAGGAAACTACCACCCAATGGGTGTTACCCCAACCGAGTCTCAGATAAGGGATATCATAGATTGGTTGTTGGCCTTTCATAGTGATTCGACGGGTTTGAGTACTGATAGTTTGGCTGATGCTGGTTATCCTGGGGCTGCTTCTCTCGGGGATGCAGTTTGTGGGATGGCTGTTGCGTATATCACTGAGAAAGACTTTCTTTTCTGGTTCAGATCTCATACGGCTAAAGAAATTAAATGGGGTGGTGCAAAGCATCACCCGGAGGATAAGGACGATGGGCAGAGAATGCATCCCCGTTCTTCCTTCAAGGCCTTTCTAGAAGTGGTGAAGAGCCGTAGTATGCAGTGGGAAAATGCAGAAATGGATGCAATTCACTCCTTGCAGCTTATCCTGCGAGACTCGTTTAAGGAAGCTGAGAATAACGATTCAAAGGCTGTTGTGCATACCCATATGGCAGAACTAGAGTTGCAAGGGGTGGATGAACTGAGTTCTGTGGCTAGAGAAATGGTCAGGTTGATAGAAACAGCCACTGCTCCCATATTTGCTGTTGATGTCGATGGCCGCATCAATGGGTGGAATGCAAAGGTTTCTGAATTGACAGGACTTCTGGTAGAGGAGGCTATGGGCAAGTCTTTGGTCCATGATCTTGTGTATAAAGAGTCTCGAGAAGCTGTGGACAAGCTTCTTTCTCATGCCTTAAAAGGTATTCTTTCTAAATTTCTGGTTTCATGTCGATTCATTGTGTCTATTAGCAGGAGTACTCAGATTAAGTTATTAGGAAGAACATACATCTTACCAAACATGACAGGTACGATTTAGAATGTGTACTTGATACTTTAACTGTAATGAATATACTCTCTCTCTCTCTCTCTCACACACACACCCACACACTCTACTTTAAAGCAATATTTTCCATTAAATGAATGACTATCTTTTCCAAATTCGCAACCACAAATGAATGGATGCACAATCATGCTATCAATAGTCTGAGTCATAGTTTGATAATCAATAAAAGGACTGAAATTTGGTATACATTTCAACTGTATAACCATGTCATGCTTATAAAAATGGAAAAAGAAGAATGAAAAGAAAATAACCATGATCCAATCGAGTGTATCATGACAGTAGGGCTCACATTGATCAATGTTTGAGATGTTGGAAAATAAAATGGATATTTTCACTTTTGACCATAATTTTAGTTGAAAACCATTTTCACTTTCTTTCATCTTTGGCTTTCCTATTTTCCACCTACTCTCTAATGAAGCAGATTTAATGCCGTTGAGCTTTGAAGTAAACTGCTACCTGCTGCTATAGAATATCTAGTTTAGCTTTAGTAAAAATAAGATATTGATAATTGGTGGTACAATGGTATAACTTGAATTTAATTAATACAGGTGAAGAAGATAAGAATGTTGAAATAAAAATGAAGACTTTTGGCCCGGGGAATCAAAATAAGGCAGTTTTTATAGTGGTGAATGCTTGCTCGAGCAAGGATTATACAAATAATATAGTTGGAGTGTGTTTTGTTGGCCAGGATGTTACTGGTCAAAAAGTTGTAATGGACAAATTCATTAACATACAAGGTGACTACAAGGCTATTGTGCATAGTCCAAATCCATTGATCCCTCCCATTTTTGCATCGGATGACAACACATGTTGCTTAGAGTGGAACAATGCTATGGAAAAGCTCAGCGGTTGGAGCCGTGGAGATGTCATTGGCAAAATGTTGGTAGGAGAGGTTTTTGGTAGTTTCTGTCAGTTGAAGGGTTCAGATGCTATGACAAAATTCATGATTGTTTTGCACAATGCACTTGGTGGACATGACACGGAAAAATTCCCGTTGTCATTTCTTGACAGACATGGAAAGTATGTACAGACTTTCTTGACCGCAAATAAGAGGGTTAACATGGATGGTCAGATCATTGGAGCTTTTTGCTTTTTACAAATTGTGAGCCCTGAACTTCAACAGGCTCTGACAGTCCAGAAACAACAGGATAGTAGTTCCTTTGCTAGAATGAAAGAGTTAGCTTATATTTGTCAAGAAGTAAAGAATCCCTTGAGTGGCATACGCTTTACAAACTCTCTTTTGGAGTCTACATGCCTGACTGATGAGCAAAAACAGCTTCTTGAGACTAGTGCTGCTTGTGAGAAGCAAATGCTGAAGATAATACGGGACATTGCTCTGGAAAGCATCGAGGATGGGTGAGTTTTCTAAGCAATCATTTCTTTTTAGTATCTATGATGTTAAACTTTACAATGTTTTGCCTTGATTTGATAACAAGCAGCATCATCTACTATATTTTGATTGTATGTAGCTATCAAAATACCTGGTTTTACATGATTGACAGTGATGTGAATCAATTTCATTTGTCCTCTATGATGCTCTTAAGATAGAGATTTCAGACAATTTGTCAATCATGTAAACAAATTAGTCCCTTCTTGCTAGGAAATGTAGGTTGTATGCATCTTCAAGCGAATATCAAATATCGATTCTTTCCCTGTTTACCATACTTGGCTAGTGGGTTGATACATGTTTTGTTGCCCCTTAATGTCCTTCTAAACTTTGTTGTTTTCTGTTAGAAGGCAAGATTCACATCTTTATTATTATTTTTTTGGAGTTAGATCCCTGGAGCTTGATAAGCGGGAATTCTTGCTCGAGAATGTCATAAATGCAGTTGTTAGCCAAGTAATGATAGTGCTAAGAGATAGAAAGTTACAGTTAATTCGTGATATTCCTGAAGAAATCAAGGCATTGGCTGTTTATGGTGATCAACTGAGGATTCAACAAGTCTTGGCTGATTTCTTAATGAATGTGGTACGCTATGCACCATCTCCAGATGGTTGGGTAGAGATTCATGTATTTCCAAGAATAAAACAAATTTCAGACGGGCTCACTATTCTGCATGCTGAATTTAGGTATGCTGGCACGACCTTCAAGTCATTTCCAATTTTCCATTAAATTTCGAAGATTGTGTTTAATTTCCTTCTGTTTTTTTTTTGTGAAGGATGGTGTGTCCTGGTGAAGGTCTTCCGCCTGAATTGATTCAAGACATGTTCCATAACAGTCGGTGGGTGACTCAAGAAGGCTTAGGGCTGAGCATGAGCAGGAAGATTATAAAGTTAATGAATGGCGAAGTCCAGTATGTAAGGGAGGCAGAACGGTGCTACTTCTTAGTTCTTCTTGAACTACCTGTGACACGGAGAAGCTCTAAAACTGTTAATTAGGCATTTCGCAACTGTAAAATTCATGTCCAAGCCATATCACTCATGTTGACCATTAGATTAGTTTGTTGTCATATACTCAGTTTGTGCTTAGCTAACCGGACAACTTAGGGTACAAGCATTTGAACAAGCTGATTCAGCCACTTATCCTTGTTACATGCAATTCTACCATCATATTAGATTGTTGTTTTGCTCCCTGACAAAACTTGTTCAGTTGTACAACATGTGGAGCTATTGGTTTGTAGTTAAATGTAACCTAAAATCTTGCTGATAATGTTATGGCAGAGACCGTCGACAGGTGTGCATCTTCATGGCCAAGTGGGTGTCCTGTGACAAATTTCAACAAAATGTTTGCATCATTAGCAGCTGCAATGGACTCCACTCCATGGTTAGAATGAACCGTAGACGTCTTGTGCTGTCCTCCGTAGTGATAGTAACTGCTTATGTAATGTGTTTCCAAGTTCACAAATAATTGTAAAATCTGTGTGCAGCAAGGTGTGTTCACTGCCTTATTTATATTTCCATTGCTGTACATCCATTCCTTATCTGTAGTAAGAAGAGCTATGTTATCATGTATTTTTTGGATTGCGGTGAAAGCTAGACTATTTTAAATAGAAGAAAATGTAACCCACTCACTTTTTGTGTGAGGGTTAACACTATGCACATTGATAAATGACATAGGAGATGGTTGTTACATTGGTAGTGGCTTGTGAGTTTGGAAAAACTTTACACGTAACTTTAAGGGCTGGAGTCCTTTAAACACGGCAATAATAATAATATTTTAAAAGACAACACATAAATAGAGCAAACAGACACAATTAATTTTTATTTGTTAACAAAATCCTCTTACAAATCATGTTCATGTATATGAGAGACACAACATGTGAGAGACACATCACATACAAAATTTTCGAGAGTTTCTTAATCTATTTTATAATTTTTTAGCGCATCACGTAAAAATACAAAAATGCATTTGAAAATCGGAAATGTATTTTTGGTATGCATCTATACCTGGATTTTAGTAGACGAGACCTTATGTAATAGTTGAGAACTATTCGAAAATACAACTACGGGTGGGACTGTAATTGTATTTCCGGAAGCACCCCAAATACACAATTGTTAAGACTGAGAAACCCAAGCTAACACGCAGAAACAAATCGAAAATACATTTACGGGAGATTCCGTAGTTGTATTTTTTATTCGTGTTGACACTTAAACGCATGCTGCATCTTCCCCTTCCTCATTTTCAGAAACATTTCAAACTCTCTCAAACTCCATTGTATCAAAATCAATCTATTTTGTGAAAAGTTCACTAGGAATCGTCAAGTATCAGATAAACTTAAGTGTTCAAGTAGATTTAAGCAAGAAAAATCATCACTTGTAAGTTGTTTTTGAGTTTATGTAATTTAACCTACAAATTGTGTTTTAGGGTAGAAAATTCAATTTTTAAGTGTTTGCAATGTTATGAGTCATAAGAAACATGTTAGATACGTATTTTTTACGATCAATGATCGTTTTTTATGTCATTAGGGATGAGCTTCACCATTGACAAAGCTTAAATGTTGCAGAGCGTATCGAAGATGCATTTCCTGTTCTCATCAACGTTTACATCAAAAACCGGAAATGCACATACAAGTTTAGTCAGTTTGTATTTTTTCATTTTTGTTAACCTGAGTCTTATTGTTAACGTTTGTTTCGTTCTTCTACAGGAGTAATGGTTGAGAGACCATCTAGGCTGAGGCACGACAGACTTGCACATCATGCTTCGGTATAGAGGGAAAGGAGTCAGGCATCCCAGACTCCTTCTGCCTCTGGACAGGCTATGTCGGATGCACCTACAGTATGGTGTTCGTGTTTGTACACCTACTTCATCGTCCTCCCGCAGCAGGCGAGGTTCTCCAGTTCATACCTCCCCGCCTCCGTCCTCCCATAGACGCACTTCCTCATCGATGGTATTTAAGGCAGGAGAGACATCTGGTTCTCAACCGACACCGGAGGCCACACAACCAATAACTGCGGCCACACAACCGATACCATAGGCTATAAAGTCGACACTGGAGACCACACAAACGGAACCTGAGGCCACACAATCGACACTTGAGGTCCAGGAACAACCTGCATCCCACCCTCAATCACAGACACACCTGAGGCTCAGGCAGCTGAGGCAGCACTTGCGACGCCTCAGGGTTTTAGAGGAAGCCTTCTGATTTATCATTGTTGCCTATATAATCGAACCATGTTGCTACACATATCTGAGACAAAGAGGTATGAATTTTGAATTGTTCTATCAATTTTTTGTTGAATTTATTGTATTATTAATTTTTGTTGAATGAATTTTTTTAAACCATGTTTGCAGGAATGTAATCCGCTGAAGATTATTAATCATTTGAGGAAGTTCACAAAACTTGTAGCCCCCCCCTCCCCCCCCCCCCCCCCCCCCCGAGTAATGGTTTTAGGAGCTCTTGATGCTTTCAGGGTTCAAAGACTTGACCCTCTGTGAACATACTACCATTAATCGTGGTATAATTGACGCTTTTGTTGAGAGATGACACCATGAGACGTCATCATTCCATTTACCACATGGTGAGATGATGATTACACTGGACGAGATCATATGTCTGTTGTATCTTCCGATAAGAGGAAGGTTTTTAGACCGTGATAGGTGCGACAAAGAGGAGGCGTTGAAGTTGTTGGTAGAGAGTTTGGGAGTTACCTCTGAGAGTTCTATGGATAAGATGGACTCCACCCGTGGAGCTCACGTCATATTTAGTTATTTGAAGAAGGTGTTCATGGTTGAGCTACAGCGTGCACGACAAACTCATGTTGATCCCGAGCAGGTAGCTCATCACCGAAGGTGTGCTATAAGAGCATACCTTTTGTATCTGGTTGGCACGACCATTTTTGTGGACACTAGTTCCATTTACACTGATGTTATATACATGCGGTACTTTGACGATTTTGAGCAGATCCATGAGTGGAACTGGGGGGATGCTTGTTTGATGTACTTGTATCATAAGTTGTCTAAAGGCTGTAAGTGGAAGACAAAGTAGATGACCGACAACATCACACTCCTGGCGTTAATATTTCTTGGTCTTATATTATATGTGTCTCATTTTGTTAATTATTGTGATTCTGTTACTAACTAATAATTATTGTAATTTCAGGTCTGGATCCTACAACACTTCCCCCGCATCTCGAGTTGGTCACTTGCCTCGAGTTATACAGAAGAAAGGCCGCATGCCGCTGCAATCGACCCGCTCCGAGCGAACCAGGCGATAGAGCCGTTTCAGGTGTATATTGACCAGTTGGTGTTTGACGATATACACTTCCATACCTACGTCGACCACCATGTCACGATTTTGACGATGTTACACTGTATTCTGGATGGTTGGCTTATGGGTTGCGCAAGACGGTTGCTCATCTGCCAGAGCGCGTCATGCGTCAGTTCAGGTGCATGTTGTATATTCCCTGGGATCCTGTTGTGTCTTTTCCTCCCTGGTGAAACAAAGGGATATGGATGCTTTTTTTGATGATTATGTTAATCATCTTGTGTGAGATGAGGCCCGGAGTACCTTAGCACCAGACGATTACAGCTATGTGGACAGTTATATCATATGGTTCTTTAGGGTGTTCCATCCATATCTAGTACAGGATGCTCCAGGAAACCCACTAAGGTCAGCTTATCATGACATTATAGAGAAGGAGCAGGTTAGGGCCGATCATGCCAATGACGTGTTTCCTAGGTGTCGTTGTATTATGTAGATTATGCATGCGAGTATTGGTGGAGGTTTATTTCCTGATGGATCTGATGTTATAGGTGTTCTAGATTCTATCATGGCGGAGGCTCAGTAGGCTCTGCAGTATAGGAGGCAACAGAGGAACGTCGGGAGGGTGACGGGCCGACTCAGAGTCCGCCATACTCAGTAGTCTTCATAGTTGTATATGTATTTTGGTTTGGATTTCATTTTGTGTATCGACTTTTGAATTGTTATTGGATAATATTTTAGGTTACCACCTTTATCGACTTTGGACACCTTTTGTATTGTTGACTGCTATATATTTCTATATGTGTCTTTGTATTCATTTTGTAGTTTCCAACATGCGAAACAATGCGAAAACTGGCTACTACCTGCATAACTTTTTCTGATCTAGGAACTGGAAATGCATTTACGGTTTTATCCCGTAATTGCATTTCTGATTTTAACTAATGTTCAACAAAAAAAAGGTGTGTTCCGAAAATACATTTTCACTTACGTAGGGGCATTTCCGAAATTGCATTGGGTTTCCAACCATATGGGCTGGAGTAAGAAATTCTCAAATCTTAAGGTGATAGATGTGTGAGTTCTTTCATTTATGAATGCTTGAGTCTCCATTTCTCTAATTAATGTGAGACTTCTCCACACTTGTTTCTCAATTGTTCTAACTCATACTTGGTTTTCTCAACACTCTCTCTCTCAAGTGTGGGACTTCCCCACACTTGTTTCTCATGTGTTCTAACTCACACTTGCTTTTTCTCAACATATCTGGTGTTAGAAATCCAAATAAAATGCAAATGGTATGAAATCGTGTGGTTGTCTAAAGACACTTTCTCATGTTTCATCACTCGAAGTGGCTTTGAGGGATGTATATCCTATAGTAAAACCTTCAGTCATCAATCTCTTTAGTGGCAAAAAAATCCAAGTCAAGTCCTTATGTGCATATTTCTATCATACATGCCTGTACACTAGAACATTTGTTGACTTAAGTATTGATCTTCTGTCATGTGGGTCGGTTAAGAAATTTTCAAATGTCTATTTCTTCACACACATTCTCGCTTGCTGAAATATATCAAACATGACACCTCTAATAAATTCATGTGGATATTTAAATTCTGGAAGCTACCTTCAATGAACGGCGTGTTTCTCAAATGTATCTAAACACCCCATACGACAAAAAGAGCTAAATTTTATCAACATTAAATGAGAGAATCATAAGTCAATATCTAAAGATAATGTAATGCTCTA